GGGGGGAGACAGATTTTCTCTCTGTAGCAGCCTCACTGTTCTCAGGTTAGATTGTAAGACATGTTTTCTAAGTAAAATGGTGAAAAATAAAATTTTCACTAGCTAATAACCTTTATGGACTTTCATTGTGGATCATTGTCCCTCTGCAGATCCTGACATAAACAAAAATCCAAAATCTGTACTTCATTTCTTGTGTCAAGTTGGTTTTCAGTCCCTTGTGTGTTTGTCCAAATGTTATTTAGCACAAAACTAAAATATATTAGTTAAATTTGGTCAGAGTCTGATTAAAATAATGCTAAATCCCAATTGGTGCACAGAAGCACATGACATCACCTTTTTCCAGTCGAGTCACGCCCATTCAAACCAGCGAGAACAACACAAACAGAAATTTGTGGAAACAAGCAAAAACAGTTTTAACTTTAGCAAAAAATGTGGTGTTCTTGTAGGACTGATTCATGTAGGGCCTTAAAGATGTGCCTAGAAATTCCTACAAACAGAGATTTCCTATTATTGTGGCCTGTTAGAGATTAGCTGCTGTACTCTACTCTGAACAATCTGGGAAAAACAAGGATGGTGTTTTCACCTATAGATGCCTCTATAGCATTATGATACATTTAAATGGGCCACCAAGTCCTGAATCTGACTCATTTTGAAAAAAAAAAACACTGTACAAAGCTCTAAAAATGCTCATCCCTCAGAATGATTCACTGTGTGCAGTTCCAGATGTAGATGCAGAATTAACAGTTTTATACATCCTATTAGTAAAACAACTAATTTTGAGGATCATGCAGCCTTGACGAAAGTATGCACCCTCTGCGTACTCTTTGGTTCATGCAATCGATTGATCAACACACTGGTAAAATTAAAACCAGTAAGTAGCTGGAACACGCAGAGGGCACCTTGGGTGAGAGAGATCAATGGTGGATAAAAGGCGCATCTAAGCCCTCAGTGAGATTGAGTTTGACACTGCAGGTCAAGGCATTTAAGCATCATTCTGCTGTTCTTAAAGAGCGAGCAGCCATGATTTGGATAATCTTGAGTGTGCAGAGTGAGATGCTGTTAGCTTCCAAACAGTAAGACTATTTATAACTTAAGGACTCATTGCCTATCAGCATTCATTAGGCTGACACTATTTGTTGCATTTGCAGGCTTGTCAGCTGCCATTCAAACACACACAGCTAGCCAGGCAGGCGTCTGTGTGTCCCTGTCTCTGTTTGAAATGGCTGATCTCTGATCCCACGTACCTCTCTGATTGGGACATACGTACTCTGTCTGTCTGTCTGTCTGTCTGCCTCTTTCACCCCAAACCTGTAAGAGCTCTCTGAAGTTAGAATGAATTTAGTTTAGAAAAGGAAAGAGCATACAGACATGTCGATTTCTTCTCTAATAAATGTTATATGAAGCGTGTACTGGGGGAATGTCACTTTTACCTCTCAGTGCAGATAATTCACTTACAATTAATTGATGTATTAATTGGAAGAGGAAAATGTCTCCGCTTTGAGCAATAGATTGTTATTGCCAAAATTATACTTAATGGATTTGAAACAGTGGTTTATGTCTGGTCAGAAGTGAGCAAATGTCTGCTTCCAGATTTGCCTGGAGGGCAGGACAAAGCCACCTGCTGTGAAATCCTATATGTGAATTGGAAAAGTCCTTTTTTAATTTGTGTTTAGGCAAAGCGCACGGTTGACTGATTTTCTCATGCTGGCCAATGCATTCTGCTGGAAAGCCACGATTTCTTGTCCTGCAGGCTAGTCTTACCTTTGTGCTTTCTGAGCTACAGCACTGCCAGGAGCATATTGTCCACTGCCTCAGCCTGTTTCACATTCCCCCTCTCTCTCAGGTTGTTATTTGTCGAAAAATGGTTGACAGAAAGAGTCTTATTCCATCTGACATACAATGCTCCTCATACCTTGTATACCACACTGACTCTCATCTTTCTTGGGCCTACATTAATAACTACACAGCAACCACACAGCTCCTGTCTCACTCATAATAGTAGTATCAGCACAAAGGTATGCATTCTGCAGCTGTCAAGAGATACGAGGAGATATGAATGAGCTCAGATTTTTATTTATTTTTTGCTTTTCTGGAGTAGCCATATTCTACAGTATTTTGATCAAACTGACAGGCAAATTCTTTTTGCATATGTTGAAAGACATGTTTGACTCCACAAATAAGCAGAAACAGTGGGGAGTATAGTTTCTGAATATAAATATATATATAAATATATAATGCAGCACAGAAGATATGTTTTCAGAAATTCGTATTAATTCATTAGTATCATTTAATTTAACTTATTTAATTCGGTACGGTGCTCAGTACATTAAATGGTTGATACCCTACAACAACCCGATTATCACTAACCAATGGTTAAAATTGAGTTTTGGCAAAATAACACCACAATTTTAACAACATTCTTCAGGCAGTAAGAACCTCATGTAAAGCATCTTAAATCAACTGGACAACGCTTGACTAGAAGTACATTTAAATTATTTAAAAAAACAAAAACATTTATAAGCAAAGCCTCAACTCCAGGTCTGCTTTTACATTGACAGGGCATATATACAGTGCATTACCCTATTACAAAATGCTGATTAGGCTTATTTTTCAGCTTTAGACTAGTCAAGAAAAAAAAAAAACTGCAGTCTTTCCACTCTAAAATATCCCCATGGTGTGGCTTTTCATATGGAAGCAAGATGCCAAAAAAAGCTTTATGTCAGGCTACTAATGCACTGTTTACTGGTCTTCCTTAAAAACAATTTTATTGAAACACAGTTGTGCTGTTAGACCTCTAAGTAAAAACATCTCCAGTTTCCTGTTTGTTTTAAAAATCTTGTGATTGTACAAAAATCTCTACATAGATTTTTCTCCAATGAACCACAGTGAGCATTTCTAAGTGACAGTAACGTTTCTTGATTTTGTATCTCTGTTAAGTATTTTTGGGGGGCATTTTTAAAAAATAGATTGACAGTAGAGAGAAGACAGGAAATACGGGGAGAAAGATGGGAAATGAAACAAGGGACCCCTCTTTGACTTGAACCACAACACTGGAGTTCATAGTCAGTGCCTTAACCTTGTGTAAATGAATTTTTTTAATACCGACTTTTATTACCGACTTAACTAATAATTTTGTGTTTTTTCTTTGCTCTCTCTATTGTTAAGCCCTTTGAGCTACATTCTTTTTATGAAAAGGGATATGGTTTAATCTTCTTGTTATCAGCATTTTTAAAAGGGAATTTTGGCTTATTCATGGCATTAAAATTGACACTGTTGAGTAATATTTAGAAAGTTCCAGTAATATATTGTAACATGCTTCTAATTCCACACAAACTAGGGAATTCCCCACAATGACTGTTCGCAAAGCGCAGAAACCTATTAACCCAAGCTCCATACTGCCACCTGTTTCTGAAAAGTGACACTGCAACACCGACAGTCAGGAGCAGTATGATTAGAGGTCATGACTACTAAACGTTCTCATGTTTATTTACAAATTGATGTGTTTATGATGCAACAAAACTGGTTATTCAGTGTCCTAGTTTTGAGGAAAGCTGTAAACACTGAGGGAGACAATGGAGTGAGGTGAAGTTTGGTGGCAGACAAGCGGACAGAAGATGAGTTTGTCGAATGTCTTGCAGCTCCATATAAAGCAGGTGGGGCCAGAGAGGAAGGGGGTAAAGGGGGTTACAAGAACAGAGGACGATGATGAAACAAGGACAGACGGGGGCAATGCCCTGGACCGGGAGAATAAGTGGCGCCTGTAGAGGTGAATCTGTCCGCCGGGCTGGTGCCTGGCTTTGTTTGGCCAGAAGATTCCTACTGATAGCCTCGGTGGCTGTTAGGAGGCACGCATGCTCAGTAGACACAGGCCAAAACACACACGTTCGGAAAACCCAGATCTATAAGCTGTTTTTTTCTTTTTAACTGTTTTTTAAAGTGTACTTCCACTCACATGTATGCTCACACGGTCACAGTGAACCTAGATAAAATATTTTTTATCCTGGCTCACTCAACCAATCTCATATTGAGATTTCTCATGAGCTGAGTCATGCTTAGTGAAACATAACATCAAACAACATGACATATGCTATCGTGAGTGGACATAATGTGCTCGTTCAAATAACCCCTTTCTGTCCCTCAGTCCTACAGAAACACACAAGCACACTCACAAAAAGTAAAGATAATGAGATGCTCTCATTCATATTAGAAAGGTATGGGTAGAATCCAACAGATGTGGAGCCATTCGTGGTTGTATTTGTTGACTCTGATGTTGTGGTCAGCCAAAGCAAGCACGCAGGCCAGCAGGGTTATCATTGAACGAGACAGACTGACGCAGGGGTCCCGCGGCATGTTGTTTCACTAATTGAGTCAGCACGGGCAATTTGGAAAGACTTTGAAGGTATAATGAGAATTCAAATGGCCCCTGATTTTATCAGCATGCTCAGTCCACCGTTTATCAGTTTGTACCTTTATTTGTGCCTTTGTGTTATTTCATTTCCACCATTATTGATTTTTGTATTTATTCACAGCCTGATGTTGTTCTGTTTTTCTTACACTGACAGGTTAATTAATCTTACGGTATTTATTGCTGCTGCAGTGATAAGGGGTAAGATAATGCTTACAATTTTAGAGTAGTATGCAATTGTTAACAATCTGGATTATTATCATTATATCACTGTCATTACATAGTTGTAATTTCACACAGTTTAAAATATTTATAAACCTATCAACAATTGGATACACGCTGGGTGGCAAGACATTAGTAATGATGTTGTAATGAAACAAGCAGCTGTCCCTTGTCTACATACATCATTCTTACATAATGAATAATCTAACATAAATAACATACAAAAAGACATGAAGTATAACTTAAATAAAAAAGGTAAATATGATATACAATAGATTTGTTTTGTTGCAGGGTAAAACACAGAGCAATGCAACTCCACACTATCCAGACATAATAAACCTCATCAGATTACATCATATTCATCTTTAACTAATGCATATTGAAACACCTTGACTCTCAAATAGAGGTTTTTAATCCTGGCTACTATTCCGCTGCTCTCAAAGGGATTTAATTTGGTTCAACTGCAGGTTCCTGTGTATTATGCAAAAACTGAATGTGTTGAAAATGAGGGGCTAATTATTCCATTTGAGAGGTTGTAATTACATCCTTTAGACTGAGCAATGGATATTCCAAAGTGGCTTCCCTCTCCTTAGTGAAGGATTTCCTGGGTCGAAACAAGTGCAGCTCAGTCAGCCATGCAATAGATTGACCCATGCAGTTTTTGGCCTTTGCTGTGGGAATCTCCAACATTCTTTCCAGTTTGTTCCAGGAAAAGTCACATTTTTAGATGATACAAGTATGAAGCACTGCCTCAATACAGAATACATATTGCTCTCATATATTGCAAAAATGATGGCCTCCACCAGCAGAAGCAGCAGCTTGTTCATGTGTGGAATTATGTGTTCTGTCTGCGGAAAGTAATTTAATTTAAAAGTTCATACTTGATTTGATATTGTTGAACAGACAGTGGGGCCCACACTCAAAAATAGATCAGAGAATTTCCACTAGTGTTGTAGCACTATGAGGAGGAGAAATGAGGAGGTCAAAACTTCCCCAGTGGAGTTAGGTAACTGCTGACAGGAATGGGCTGGCCTTGCAGAGTGATGAGGCAACACTGAGCCAAAGTGTGTATAAATACCAGAAAGCTCTGCATACTCAGCCATCAGACAGAGGAAGGACTCTAAAGAGCTGACAAGGGTCACCAGAAGATCTGAAGGAAATCCACTTGCGCAGACAATCACCATCCATCACCGGAGCTGAAGAATAAATTGAAGATATTGTGGTGCTCTTTGGTGGCCTGACACCCATGAGAAAAAAGACCTATCAACTCTGATCTTCAAAGGATTTAATAACTAAACCATTAAACAGAAAAACTAAAATGAAGGCATTCAGCATTGCAGTTGCAGTGACACTCGTGCTCGCCTTTATTTGCATTCTGGAGGGCTCTGCCGTCCCATTTGCCGGGGTAAGAATTTGACTTAAACTCACTTCATTTGCTTATTAGCTATAAATGTTTTGTCACGATGGTAAGACGTTGTTCCTAAAAGTACAAAATTCATTACCAGGTGCAAGAGCTGGAGGAGCCAATGAGCAATGACACTCCAGTTGCGGCACATCAAGAAATGTCAATGGAATCGTGGATGGTATGTTCAATTGACTGAATGAATTAAGCCAATTACTGTGAGCAAATTAAAATTTAAGTGGATGTGTTTTCCCCATGGAGTACCCTGGTGCTCTCTCCACACAAGGAGAGGATGAAATGCTGGAGATGAACACCTTGCTCATGTCTCTTGTCTTTCACACAGATGCCAAATCACATCAGCAGGCAGAAGCGCCAGAGCCACCTCTCCATGTGCCGCTATTGCTGCAACTGCTGCAGAGGCAACAAGGGCTGCGGTTACTGCTGCAGGTTCTGAGGATTCCAGCAACGACCACAACATATTAATTTATTAGGCTTTTTGTCTGTCCCCAAGAAATGACCTTTTCTTTCTCTAATGAATACCTGTGCTACACTGTTTTGTATCATTTTATGAGGTATGATTAATCGAAGAGCACTGGAAAAAAAGAGCTATTCTTTGTATTTATTTTGTATGTTTTAATACTTTCACCTTTTTTTGTGTGTTTTTGTAATCTCAATGATATGTAAATTAGTTTCTAAGAATAATCAGGATGTGACTGTTTCTTCATTGGAATTAAGTCTCACAAGTTAATATCTGGTGTTGAATAAATAATTACCGTTTGAAGCAACTGCAGAATTTCTTTTGTGTTATTATTATTTTCATCATTTAACAGAGATAGCAATCATGATCATCCGGGCACATGTTAAATATTATACTTGCTTTACAGTATGCGTGATGAATAATAGTAAGATATTAACTGATAAAAACATAATTTAACAACTGAATTGTAATTATTATTGTACAATTCTTAAAATATTGTTCAATTTAGTCACTGTATTTAGTTTTGCTTAACACTATATTAGTATTACATCATCGGATAATTCACTGTACACTGTAAGAAAAGATACACC